CTATTTCTAGCTTTTTAAGGAAGCGCCAAATCGATTTCCAAAGTGGTTGTACCATTTTACATTCCCACCAACAGTGTATAAGTGTTCCAGTCTCTGCACAACCTCTCCAGCATTTGGACAACTCATTTTTTTTTAATGGACAAAAGACTTGAACAAGCACTTTATAAAAGACAATATCCAGATAGGCAATAAGCATATGAAAACGTTTTAAACATCATTCGGGAAATGCAAATTAAAACTACAACAATGAGATAACAACTGCACACCTACCACATTGACTAAAATTTTTAAATCTGACCTTACCAAGCAGTGGCAGAGATGTGAAACAACTAGAGCTCTTATGAACCACCCATAGGAGTACAAATTGGTACAAGCACTTTGGACCAGGATTTCTACTCCTAGGTGTACGTATACTCAACAGAAATGAGTCTATAATATGTACTCCAGAAGACATGTAGAAGAATTTGCGTAGCAGCTTTATTCATAGTAGCCCAAAGCCGGAAATAGTCTAAATGTTCATCAGTAATAGAATGGATAAATTGTACTGTATTCATACAATGGAATACTATGTGTTAGTGAAAAAGATGGAACTACTGTAACCATATGGATGAATCTAACAAGACATTGTTGACCATAAGAAGCCAGACATGAAAGACTATATACCAAATAATCCATTTATGTGAAGTGCAAAAACAGGCATAGTTAGTCTACAGTGACAGAACAGGATAATGGTTATCTCTGGGGGAGTGGATATTGATTGAGCGGGGACATATCAGAGGCTTCAGAAGTGCTGGAAATGTTCTATATCTTGAGCTGGGTGATAATTACACAAGAGTACATATGTTTTTTAGAAATTATTTGAGCTGTACACCTAAGTTTTTTTGTACTTTATTGGATGTATGTTATACTTAAATTTTTTAAATTTGGGAAAATGTAACATTAAATATTGAAACAAGTAGATTATCAGTATAAAAATATTTGAGCCTTCTTCATTGAAATGCTTGTTGTACTGAGATTTTGTTTTAATGAGATTTCACTAGGAATAATATTTGTAACTTATATTTAGGTAGCATTTCATGGTTCACCAAGCACTTTCTCATAGCATGTTAAGAGATATGTCATCTGGGCATATTCCAGGATAAAGAGTCTGGATTTTAAACCATAAATAATATAAATTATTACCAAAACTTAGCAAGTTTTTTGTTGTTTTCAAGTTGTTATATTGGAAATGTCAGTGTCACATTGCTCGTTTCTGTCTTTTAGGCTAAGACATCAAGCACACAAAGAATTTTATGCCTACAAACAGGTGAGACATTTACTTCAGACTGGCTTTAATCATGATTTTTTTCTTTTTTCTGAAAAATGAGAACTCTGATTTCTGTTCATATTTTAAACGGGGACTGGATTTACTCGTGTTCATTTTAGCATTCCATTTGCCAGTTTACAGTACAAAATAGATGAAATTCACTTTCTTAAGTATTCTTCTTAAGTATTTGAAGGTATAGAAAGATCAGGTGATATAATTTAACAAAGAACTTTAGCTAACATTTGCTAAAGGAAATGCTGCAGCTTGTAATTTTTAAAGTTACTATGGAGTTCATGTACTCCATAAGTAAGTCAATTTCTTACCTCCTTCTCCATTGCAAGAGATACCAGCTCCCACAGATGACCAGCTGTGTTATGGTGATCTCATTTACTCCTCTTTGTACTTCAAATTCAATTTTAGCTCATGTCACGCCCCTATAAATCTACATACTTGGATCATCACTGTTAACACCTACCCCTTTATACTACCCCTTCACTGGTTTCTTTAAGTTAATAAGCTTAGCTTTTATTGAAAACAAAGTGGAATCAGTACTTCCTTCCTTTGTGTCACCCATTAACATTTTACACTGACACCAAACAGTGGGTCTAGGTGTTCCTTAATTTTCTTTTGCCCTAAACATAAAATTATTTTTGTTGTCCTTAGCTTTTTTTTTTTTTTTTTAAAGCTTCAGCTTATTTGCGATTTTAGCCTTGCTGACAGTGATATTACAAGTCCATGTCACCATTTTCGGATTACATGTCTTTCTGTCCATGTCTTTTTTAAATCTGAACTCATTAGCGAGTTTCCTAGCTGTACGCCCTGATGTCCTTGGGTAATCCCCACTCTCTGTCTTCCCCGTAGGTCCCATATGGGATTCATAATCAGAAATGAATGTTTTAGTTTCCTAAGTGAATCTTTTTTGTTTCTTGTCTCAGTTCTATCATCATCTTGACAGCCTACAAGATATTTGTACGTAGGCTAACTAGAAAGTAAAATTGGCCCTGGTAGTCATTTAAAGGATGAAGTTGACTGGGAGAACTAATCAAGTCACAAAACAGATGGTAAACTTGATCTTTAAATCATACTGAATTGGAAATTTATACATCTCTAAGCAGCTGAATGATAGCTTCTGGTTATGACTTCTGAAAATGTGATTTGCCCTCGAAACCATGTAATGAGTGTTAGACACCCAAACTTTAGAGCTTTTCTCCACATTTCACTTGCCTATTTTTTCACTTTAAGATGAAATACAACTCTAATAATCTAAATGTATTCTCAGGAAAAAAAATATTTGTAAGTAGTACTCTGCCCTCTTATCACTGGGTGAAATGTTTTAACTGATGTTTGGTCACCACAGAGTCAGGTTAGGGAAGCACCTGGATAAATTTTAAGCCCATTAACATAGCTCTGGCTAGAGCTGAAGTTTACTGAGGACAGTGATATGTAATAACAAGCAAAACTTCCAAAATTAAGATTGAGTTTACTTTTTAATCTTTAATGAGTTACTAATCAAACCCATCATCCGATGCTGTGTTTTACTGAATCAGAAGGCAATTGATGCCATTTATTTTCCCACCATATTAGCACTTAGTCTAGATGGGCTTGTGTTAACATCTTTTCCCAAAATTTACTCTGCTGTCAAAGAGATTTCAAAATTGCTTTTCAGAAGGATATTATATCATTGCTCAAGTTTAAAAAATGTTGTTAAAATGTTCTCTGTCTCTAAACTGTAAAAGAGATTCTCTCCAGTACTGAATATGAGGGAAAATAAACTACATACACAAAAGAAAAGTATTTATGAATATAATGAAAAATTTTTTAAATCACAGATTTAAATGAGTGTAAGAACATACTTTTTTTCTTGCAGGTTATATTAAAAGAAAAAGTAAAAGAACTAAATTTACATGAGGTAAGTTGATAGAAGTAGAATACTGTGGTATTTAAACATTTTCATTTTCAGAAGTCAAAAAAATCAGGCTTAATAGAATATTTGTGGGTGAGGTCACATAACAGTCGACTGTATGAAGGCCTTAAGAGAACATCATAAGGCCTAGGAGAAGCATAATTCGTATTTTTAATAGGGGTGATGCCAAGTGTAAGATTTCATAGCAGCAGAGATGTACTAACTGTCCATGGCATATGAAGAGGAGACGGATATAAATTAGTTTTTCTACTCAAGATGAATTGTACACTAATTTCACTCTTGAAAATGTTGCCAGTATTCCCTTCTTACAAGTAGCACACACAAGGTAGTGATTACATCACGGGGGTATTAGGGGTGGAGGGTGAGGCAGAGGGATTGAATAGGGGAAGAACACACAGAGATAAGAATCCTTGGCATTGTCTAGCTATTAGGGCAAGTGGTTGGTTCACAGGTGTTCATTATGTTTTTATGCTTTGTAACTTAAATATGCAAATATGTGTGCATGTATGTGTGTGTGTCCTGCTGTACACCTTAAGACACAATCTGTAAGAATTTCTTTTCCTTCTATTCATAGTTTTGCCTCTGACTAAAAACGTTCAGGATTTTTTTTTTTTAGTTTTATCAGCTTTACTATTCTTCCTTCTCTGAGTTTTTGAAACGGTGTTTAAAGGAAGGACTTGGAAATCAGTATGTTGTAATATCTGTGTTTTATATAGCCTAACTGAGGTGAAGCTACATTGCCAGTCCCTTAAAGAGGGTTAATTTGTGAAATTATTTGAATACTAATTAAAAATATTAATTTGTATTATTGTCAAACACTTTGATATCTTCTCCTACTGCTGTTTGGCTCTTTTTCATGTTTTTCATCAAAGAGTTGATATATTACTGTTTAACAGCATTTTAGACCTTCCCTTGGATTAAACTGTGTATGTAAGCAAACATTGATTACTGTTTGATTTTTAGCTTTTGCCAAAAGTTAATTTTGGCGCGTGGCCAAAATCAACATCCAACAATAGAGAGTGTTGCATTTTCTGTTTGATATCTTTTTGATGACCATAAATGAAAAGATTAAATTCTGACATACATTAACAATGTTGAATAACCAGTTTCTTCAGGAACGAAAAGTCTTCCTTAGTGGCTGGACCTGTTAGTTTAGAATCTTTATCCTGAATAAGTATGTTATGTTGCATCATTATGTATCAGAGTTCGTATCACAGCTACACCCACCAATTCTAGTTTTGTTGAGTCTGACCACACTGCTGACCCTCCGCTGTTGCTTGAGAATATAGCTGGGAAAGCCCAACCTTGCTCTACAGCTTGTTTCTAGAGGTCATCATGGGTTTTCCTCAGTTCATTTGGTCCTTTTCTGGTTGCATTTCTTGGTGATTAAACTATTTTGTCAAACTTGTTTTTTGTGTGTGCATTTTTGTAGCTTACCCATACAATGATAAGTAGCTTATTTCTGTGTAAGCACATGGAATTTTAATATGGATAGTGTTATCAGTGAATAATTATAATAGTGAAAAATTAGAGAACAGCTGAATGTTCTTCATCACTAATGGAATGAATAAATAAAACATGATATACTGGAAGATCATCTACCAAAATATTAAAAATTAATAAAAGTAAAGAAGAAATGATATAGTGATTGACACAATTAAATACTATACGAAGCCACAATTAAGGAGCGAGCTCTGTCTGTAAATATGTCAACCAGGATAGATCTCAAACAGGATCTTGAACAAAATGAGTTGCAAAATGATATAAATATTTATATTACATATGTAAACTAAAACACACACCACATTGTTCATGGATGTATATGCATATGCAAAGTATCTTACTGCGTCTTAGAAGGATGCATAATGAACACACTGAGGAGGAAAGAAAAGGAAAAAAATTGGAGGAAGTTAGTCAAAAGGGACATTAATGTTAATTAATTAATTAATGTTAATTTCTGTTAAAGAAAAATATCCTCTCCTAAAACCCATAGTCTTCTGTCTTTTTTCCCCATCTTGTAATAGAGTCATACATATAGAGAAGCTTGTCTCAAGAGAAACAAGACAGCATCAGTGCAAGTGGAATAATAAATGGCATCTGAGGGAGTCTTGGTGTCAAGAGAAACAGAAAGGTGCAGTGTAGACCATAACATAGTAGGCCGTGCAGCCCCTGTGTAAAGGAGTTGCCACAACTCAGCTCTGGCTAATTGTTGTCATGGGGGAATACAGGCCAGTTGTTGCCAGATCTTCTGGGTCTTTTCAAGAGAAGCTTGAGAGTCTTCTACTTGTGGCCTCTGCATTAGTCTGTGATTTATTTGCCATTTGCATGTAGTCTCTAATTAGTTCACGACAGTATTCCCTGCCTTGCTTATGGTGAGTGGTTGTTTTCTCCATCAAATTCCTTTTGCACTTTGTTAAAAATCAAATGGCCATATTTTTCTGGGTCTTTTTCGAATTCTCTATTCTGTTCCATCAGTTTATGTGCCTATCCCTTTATCAATACCTCAGCCTTGATTATATAACTTCATAGTAAATCTTAAAATCAGGTAGTGCAATTCCTCCAACTTTATTCTTCCTTTCCGAAATTGTTTTATCTAGTCTAGTTCCTTTGCCCTTCCATGCAAATGTTAGGGTCAGCTGACTATATCTACAAAAAGTTCTGCTGGATTTTTATTGTTGTTGTTAGATGTCTTCGAGTCAGTTCCAACTCATAGTGATTTTTATTAGTATTGCATTAAATCTGTAAGCAGCTTGGGAAGAATTGACATCTTTACCATGTTGACTCTTCCAATCTATGAGCACATTATGTCTCCATTTATTTATTTAAAACTCTGTTGTTAAATGCATACGCATTTAGGATTGTTATGTTTTTGGTGGATTGACCTTTTTATCAGTATGTAATATCCCTCATTATCCCTGGTAATTTTCTTTTCTCTGAAGTATACTTTGTCTGATATTAATAAAGCCACTCCAGCTGTCTTTTGAATAATGTTTGCATGGTGTATCTTTTTTCTATCATTTACTTTCAACCTACCTATATCATTATATTTGAAATGAGTTTCTTGTAGGCAGCATACAGTTCGGTCGTGTTTTCTTATCCACTTTGCCAGTCTCTGAATTTTCATTGATGGGTTTAGACCATTTGCACTTAATGCAGTTATTGATACGTTTGGGAATAAGTCTATCATTTTATTGTTTGTTTTCTGCTATTCCCTCCCTTTTTCATTCTTCCGTTTCTCTTTTCCTGCTTTCTTTTGTTTTTTTTTTTAACATATTTTAGTATTCCATTTTAATTTATCTTTGTGATTTTTACTTTGTCACTTTGTATAAATTTTAGTGGTTGTTCTAGAGATCACAAAATACATACTTAGAGTCAATATTTTGCTTCAGTGGAATGTAGAAACCTTACCACCATATAGGTCCCTTTACCTTCCCCACTTTGTGCAATAACTGTCATATATTACATCTATATATATTGAAAATCCTGTCAGACAATGTTACCTTTTTTGCTTTAACCATCTGACTTGTTTTAAAGAACTTAAGAGAATAGCTTGTTATATTTACCCAGATATTTACCATTTCTACTGTTTTTCATACCCAATGTTCTGAGTTTCCTTCTGATGTCATTTTTCTTCTTTCTGTTGAACTTACTTCAGCAGTTCTTTTAGAGCAGGTCTGCTGGCTATGAATTCTATTAGTTTGCTTTCATCTGAAAATGTCTTTATTTCACCTTCATTCCTGAAGGATATTTTTGCTGGATATAGAACTCTTGGGTTGACAGTTCTTTTCTTTAAGGACTTTAAAAATGTTGTTCCACTTCCTTCTGCCCTCCATGGTTTCTGATGAGAAATCCACAGTCATTCAAGTTGTTGGTAATGCATTGTTTTTCTCTGGCTGCTTTCAAGATTTTTTCTTCATCTTCAGTTTTTAGCAGTTTGGTTATGATGTCTGGGCACAGATTTCTTTGGATTTATTCTGTTTGGGGGTTGCTAGTTTCATGAATCTGTAGGTCTTTTGCCAAACTTGAGAAGTTTTCAGTCATGATTTCAATTTTTTTTTTTTCCCTGCATTGCATTCTTTCTCTCTCCTTCTGGGACTCCAGTGACAATGAATGTAGACCTTTTGTTTTTGTCTCACTGGTTCTTGAGGCTCTGTTCTTTGTTTTTTGTTTTTGTTTTTTTTTTTTTCAATTTTTTTTCTCTATTGTTGTGATTGGGTAATTTCTATTGTTCTGTCTTACAGTTCTATGATTCTTTTCTATGTCCCCTCCATTCTGGTGTTGACACTCCTGTGAGGGGGACAGGGCAAGTAGTGTCCTCATTTTACAGATGGAGGAACAGAGCTCTGAGAGGCATCATGATAGCAGTGGTCCCACAGCTAGTGGGTGTCCAAGCTTAGGCAAGAAATCGTGATGGCTTGCACCAAGATCCTTGGGGATGGACAGAGATGCAAACAGGGAGAAGTTCAGGCATTGGTCAGGAGACAGAAGTGGTACAGCTCGTCAGTGCAACAGATCTGGGCCCACATCCAGGCCTGGCCACTTATCAATGGAATGGCCTCAGGCAACACAGTTACTTTCCTGTGCTTCTGTTTCCTCAGCTGTAAAGTACATAAATGTGATGACACATGGTGTCCATGTGCACTGCTAAATACACAGGAAGTAGTGGTTGGAACCTAGCATCTGGGTATGAAGGAGAAGGGCACCATCGCCTCCTTTCATGTAGACCTCCTTCAAAGCAGTAGAAGCGAGGCATCCATCAGAGCGCAATCCTGGCCGCATTTGTACATTTTCATAAGTTTCAGTTCAGTGGCTCTTTAATAACTTTTTATATGACAAAGACAGACATGGACAGGACAGTGTCAAAGTGGGAGGACTCAGGAACTATAAATAGCAGGTTACTGCAGGCTGTGCCGTCTGTAGTTTCCATATTGCAAGAACTGGATAAAGGAGAACTCAGTATGTGCCTCCTGGGCATGAGCAGTCTCCTTCTAGTGAGATGCCACACCATCCTGAAGGTTTGGACAAGGCCACCCTTACAACCACGTTTGCTCTTCTGCATGATACCCCAGGAAACTGGAAGAGTAACATTTCTGGTTTTGTAGACGAAGGTGGGGGTTGACTGGCTTACCTGGATGACTCGGCAACACCCTTTGACACCCTGAGTCCAACCTCATGGTCCAAGACTCTTCACCAAGTCTGGGTCCCAGAGTCAGGGGCTGTGCCACTGAGCAGGCAGAGCATGCCCTGGAGAAAGTGCAGTCCCTCTGCACACTGCAGGAAAGTTAGATTATGTTAAACCTACGTTTGTGAGAAAAACCTACATCACTTCTTGGATGCTCTGGAGTAAAGGAAGTTGCTTCTTGCTTTCTGTCTTCTCCTGTCTGCCAACCATCTTTAAGATGTGTGATAGAAAGAGCATGAGACTCTGCTTCAGGAGACGGCATTCCTTTGAGTCCTGTGTCTTTCACTTAATGAGCTTTTTGCGACATTTAAGTCCCTTCAGCTAGCCTGCACTCTACCTTGTGGGCTGGGAGAATACTTAGCAGACACGTTCCCTCACTTGTGAATTTGCCTTTCAGCTCTGTGCAGTGTGTCTGGAAGACTTCAAGCCTCGCGATGAGCTGGGGATTTGTCCATGTAAGCACGCCTTCCACAGAAAGTGAGTATTGGTGTGGAATTATTTGTTGGGACCCAAGTTTGAGGTGCCTTAACTGACTTACTTACGGGCTTTTGGGCAATGCCAGACAAGCTTGGTGACTTTGCAGTTGGTCTGTAATGCAGAAAGTTGGGAGCACCCTTCTCAGCCTCACGAGGTGGGGCATGTATGTGTATGTGATGTTAGGAGGGATGAGGTTGGCCACCACAGCAGCACTTTGGGCAGAGAGCCAGACCACCCCACACCTCTATGGAGCCCAAGCTATTAATAGCTGTTTAGCTGGAACTTTCCAATGAGAGCTTCCATCTCCTAAAAATGTGTTTTAATTAAAACCATAGTTATATCAAGATAAATAAAGTCTGGATATAAATAGTTGCGTGGAGTCATCTCCTCCCCCTTCCTGCAGACATGTTACTATTCCCCCCTCTTCTGCAATCTTGATGCACTTCGTATTTCTATTCAAAAAACTATATTTCTCCTACTTCCCACCCCCTCCTCCATGTACTTCATTCTTCTTTAGGAAGTTGGGCGTGGCTGAGGGTATAGCATGCTCTGCTCACTGTGGCTTCTTAGTATTACCTTTTGGAAGATGGGTGGCTCTGGTTCCTCCAGAGGGTAAAATGCCCTCTACACCTAGTGGTGGAGCTCCTCAGGACCAGACATCAGACTGCTAAACACTTTGGCTGTCCACAGCAGCCCCCTGGCTCTGGGCAACAGATGTGTTCAGTATACACACAACAGCCAAGAAGTGGGCAGTGGGCTGCCACGAGCCTGGGCCTGACGGCTTCCCTCTTATGGTGTCTTATTCTGCAGGTGCCTTATTAAGTGGCTGGAGGTGCGGAAAGTGTGTCCACTGTGCAACATGCCAGTTCTGCAGCTGGCCCAGTTGCACAGTAAGCAGGACCGTGGACTCCCACAGGGGCCCCTCCCTGGGGCGGAGAACATTGTATAGCTCACCACAAGGATCAGACTGTTGCAGGATATGCCATTCGTGTGGAGCCAGGAGGAGCACAAGCAGTCTCTGGGTTGGCTGCTCTCCACCTGAGGTACCAGCTGCCATTTCCTTTGCCTCATGAAGCACTCTTAGGCTAGCCAAGCTAGGAACCCATACATCTGGGTCTTGTGACAACCAAAGCACTCTACCCTGCTGACACTACCCCATGCCAGGAGAAGAGGAGTGGATGAGGCTGCAGGTTTTGTTCAAGAAGCTTCATGAGGGTCTCTTACTACCTTCATTACACTCTGTCTCCCAGACACTTATCTCCATGTCAACGTGAATCTTTACCAAGCAGAAGGGAAGATAAACACAAGTGTTAGAGAAGGGAACCGAGGGCAGGTCTTTAAAGCCACACACCCCACACTGTGGACAGATGCCCTTCTATGCAGACCGTGCATGCCTTTGCAGCAGCAAACCATCCCGGCAGTCCCTGAGCCAAGTAAACCAGCGGTACCTCATCCGAAGCATGACCAGGTGCCAGTGATTGGTGAGGCAGTGCCAATAAGGCTTTTCACGTATGTTCCTTCAATAAGGCCTCCTTGGACCCCAAAGGCTTTAGTCACAGCAGAGCAGCCATGCCCCTCACGGGGCCCTTCTCACTCAAGTTCATGGCACCCGCCATCAAATCAGCTAAGCTCAAAACATTAGACACGCTTGGAAAGTCCTGGTTGGAAGCCATTTCCTCCTGTCATTTCCCCCTCATACTCACCACTGAGGCACCATAGCCAAGTCACCGGTCAGGAACCCCGGCAGGAGGTGGGCCTCTGAGCCCGCGCTGTCCCTGTGTGACCCAGGGGGGTGCCAGAGTGCTGCCCACAGGCCCACGTGCTGCATGGCTCCAGGGTAGCCGCTGGTCTCTGCCCACTGCCCTGCAGAAGCCGCTGTGAGCCCCTCAGGCTACTCCGAAGAGGAGCACCTTCCTGAGAATGGCCAGTCCTCCTGGCCCAGCTAAGACGGGAGGAGGAGGCTGACCCCCTTCCTCACCTTTCTCCCTTCCCTCTGTCCTCCCCGAAGGCACAGGCTCTGCCTTTTCCTTCCCTCTCTTGCGCTGTTTCACTTAAGGAAGAATGCCTGTCACTGACTTTTTAACACTTTAAAGCATCCCAAGTAAGATCCCTCCATAATTCTGAAGCCAGCGATCCACTTGAAATTGTAAATAGTTTCAGGAAGCTCCTGCCAGGCTGCTCACCCTTTGGTGGTACCTAGTCAGTGTTTGGACTTTTGATAACTAATTTAAGTGTCTTTATAGGAGAGAAATGCATGCTGCTCTTTGGCTCTTTCTGTCCAACTTTTCTAGAAGTGACTCAGAGTCCCTTAGGATTCGTGAATTTTGTATAAACCAGCTATGTAAAGCAGCAGTGGGTCAGATAGGAAGTTCTTTCCACACTCCTGCTCTCCACCTCTCTCATCATAAGGAGTGCCTGCCTCAACTCATCCCCAACTGCTCTGCCTCTGCTCCGTCCCACAGTTGTGGGTGGGGATGTTTTTACTCACAAATAAGGTCTGCATGATATGGAGGGAGCTTTGCTGCTCTGTTCATGGCATGTCTCCAGAGATTTTTTTCTGGAATCCAACCTCTGCCATCTTAGAATGGGAGAGGGAACTTGACCGTGGCTCAGGTGGCTGGGGTCAGATGAGGAAAATTCCCATTAGCCTAGAAAGTGCTGGGCAGAATCCAGTTTGGAAAGTTACAGCTCCAGTTGGTCAGAATTGGCTGTTTCCTATGTATGACCTACTCGTGGTATGCCGATTGGACTGCTTCCTAAGCAGGGCCAGGGAAGTGTGGACTCTTTTTATATGAAAGCCTTAGCCTGTTTGGCGCCCATGCAAAGAACCGTTTGTACTCTCCTACCTTCACCTTCTGTCTCTGTTCTCAGTTTGTAGCACAGCAGAGTTGAACGCTGCGAAACGCTCAGTTTACAGGGAAATGTCTTCAGTGACCAGTGTCAGAAGTAGGCTGGCTCCTGGACTAGCCTCCTTAGTGGCCAACCCCCATCATTTTCCATAGAGTGGCCTTGAGACAAACATCACCTCTTTATTATGGGGCTCCAGTAGGAAAGAGAATTTTTTTTTACCTTCAAAGGAGGAGTTCCTGAGCTCTATCCTGCAAATGACTTCAGCTCACAGCTTTTGTAGGACTATAGATTTCGCTTGCAGCTGTTTTCTGTCCCTATGAGTCAGTACCAAATAGCCTCAGCAAGTCCCCGTATTTGTAGGGAGACAAATGAATTCATCTCACTGCGTCAAAGCTAAAGGGAAGCTGTCGTGGTTGATGCGAAACACTAGACCAGAGGAGCACAGCCAAAGTGAAGACGGCTGCTGGAGAAAGCACAAGAATGCGGCCCTCCCCCCTCCCAGGGCCTGCAAGTGGCTACTGCTGCCAGTCCTCGCCCTGCTCCTGGCGCGGCCTGCTTCACCGCAGCTTGTCCAGCGTCACTCTTAGGGGTCCCTGCACCTCTTAGCTACACAGCCAAGTGTTTGCTCCCCACTTCTGGATCCTCCCCTAGGATTTGCCTGCGCATCTGCATCGATGTGGTGCAAACAGCAGGGTTTTGTGTACGTATGTCTTCCTTTAGTTCTCATTAAAATCACAGAGCAGGGTTTTGTTTGAAGAACAAGATCAAATCTCCGTCAGGATTTTTTTCTAAGGAAGGAGTTAGGGATCCCTTTATACTTCTGGCTTAGGCTCAGACTCCTCAGTGAGCCCGCCCCTTTACTGCATCTATCTCGGTGAGTTGCTAGTGACCTTCTGTTAATGTATAGACACGTGGGGACTCTGATCTGCTCTTAGGCCACTGGCTGCACTTCATCTTAAAGGGACTTGAGCAGCTCAAAGATTGGATGTTACATGCTGTGGGTTAGTGGACCATAACTCAGCCCCAGCTGGACTCCCCGGGTGGCTAAACTATTATCTAGTTCTGTTGCAAAGGGGATGATTAAATTCAGCTGGCTTTAGAAACCGGGAACAAAACCTACCTGACTTGATTCCTGGTTGGGTAGGCAGAAGACACCAGGAGTTGTCATCTGGCACCTTCCTTTGCTATAGTGTGATTTGATTAGGCCTGTCCCTGGCAGATACGGGCCTTGTAGCCTGTGGTCACTTAGCCAGGGAGCAGGACAAAGAGAAATGACCAGACGGAGGCAAGTGGCCCCTGGAGAAGGTCTGGGCTGAGGGATACCAGGGGCCTCCCATCGTTGCCAAGTACCATATTCTTGACAAGTTTTGACAAATGAAGATCCTTTTCCCCAGTGCTAACCCATCAGATCCATCTGAGGAATGACTTCGGGCCCTGTTCTTTCCACAGCCCCACTCCAAGCATGTCCTAGCCTGGCCATGCCCTCCTGGGCCACACTCAGGATAACTGTTGTAATTATTTTTTCTAAGAAGTTTTCTGCAAATTACTTTTCTGAAATGTATAGAGGTGTCCCACAAGTTCTGAACATAAAAAGTGCTTGGAGTGCCTGGAATCAGCCCCTTGCCACTGGCTAGCCATGTGCCTTTTTGCAGGTTAGCCTCTCAAGGCCTCCTTTTCCTCATTTACCACCTTACTCACTACCCAGGGATTGTAATAACAACGGCCTTCTTGAGAGCTCTTGTGAGGATTAGCCACACTGTTTAGAGCCTGGCAGGCAGCAGACCTGTGCTCATCTCGGTCTCGGAGAGCTCCTGTTTTCACGGTAGAAACCGCCTCAGCCTGAGAGCCTCCTGGGCCCACCTGGCTCCCTTCCCTTTCCTCTCCTGAGCTCCTGTGTGCTCAGTTCCATCTGCCTTTGCCCACAGTGCATCCTGACTTGATTGCTCAGTGCTGAGCATTGATTTCTTAATTTTTTTTCAATAGGTAATAAATACCTTCACATGGTTCACGAATCATAAAGTTAAAAATCCTCCTTGCATCCCTGACCCCCAGCAAGCCCAGGTGCTCCCTCTTGAGCACCCACTCTTCAGTTTCTTGTGTACCCTTCGAGATCATTTTTATCCATATATACAAGCAAATATACACACGTGTGTGTATGTGCATGTGTAATTTTTCTCCTTTCTTACTCATGATGTGGAGCAAGTATATTCAAGGGAACATTCATGTTCACGTGGGAAGCGCCATCCTGAAAGTCAGAATATCTGTAAAAAGTGAACCCAGACTTGGGGAACGTGTTTGCAATCACATTCCTTTTGAATAAGGCATATTTTTACTGGATTGCAACATACTGGAATTCTAGTTTTCTATACAAATCAGAAACTGCAGTCCCTCCCTTACCCTGTACCACACATGCCCAGCTAATCCAGGTGCATTTCTCAGACTGATCCGCAGGCTCTAGCCAAGAGCAGCAACCACAGCCTCTCTTCTATATCTGAGCAGCCTTTGCAGGAACCTGGACAAGCTGCAAGACTCCCCCGCAACCCTGGCCAGGTCCAGGTGAGAGCCAAGCAGTGATGTCCGGTTGCATCACGGTCTCTTAGGTGAACACCCATGTTTGAGGCAGGGGTTTGAGAAGCAGCAGCAGCTGAATGCTGAGGCATCCTTCAGTTTTGTGAGCAGCTGTCTCAGCTGCTAAGCAAGTGGACGGTGCATCTCCTCAGAATTAACCACAGATACGCCTGAGTGTCAGCAAGTTCACAGGTTTGCCTCTCCCTCCCCACTCTTTATGCACACACTTTTAGAAAGATGCTTCCTGCAAAATTTTCCCTTTGCCCAACTTTCCCATTTGACAACAGAAATTATCCCACCAGTAGTCTTTCCTTGTAGGGGCCCTAGTGGCGCAGTGGTTAAAGCGCTCGGCTGCGAACCGAAGGTCGGCAGTTTGAACCCACAAGATGTGGCAGTCTGCTTTCAAAGATTAATGCCTTGAAAATCCTATGGAGCAGTTCTACTCTGTCCTATAGGGTCACTATGAGTCAGAATCAACTCAAGGCAATGAGCTAGTCTTTATCGAAAAAAAACAAAGAGGGGTTCATTTTTGACCCTAAAGGAGATGAAAGTTAAATGTAAGCTGCTTCCTCCAGGCAGCCATGAGGGAAAGGGCCCCGGACTCAGGCCTCCTCTGGCTGCCCAGTGCCTCACCCAAGCCCATCCTCACGTATGGGGTCCACCCACCTCCCTGGTGTACCTGCCACCCAGAACAGCCCAAGTCTTCCCCTGGATCAAAAGTGCCGGTCGGGCCCCTGACCGGAAACTTGAAATCGTGTGAGCCCCACTCTTCCGTCACTTGTGGAAATCTCTGGCCCTGAGCTAGTGTCTTGCTTTCACTGTTAGGAATTTCTTGAGTAAAGGAGATAGATGCATGTTAAGATGACTGAATTCTGGTAGACTTTGCAGTTGACTAGGAAACGGTCGTGGTTTTTAGTAAATAAGATTAATGAAGGATCCCATATACCATGGAATGTGCTTCCACTTTTTGGAGTGGGAATACCAGGAGAAAAATAGACGGGCTTGTTCAGTAAATGTTATTTTCCAATCCAGCTTTGAAGCCCTAATTGTTGCAAGATGCTAATGTTTTATTCCACTTTTAGACCAAGTGTCAACACTCTTGGCTTACCAATCCAGTCCTCACTTCTGTGGTTCACCCTCCCAGCTCCAGGGACGTGTACCCAGCATGTGGGCCCCCCATGTGGGGATGAGTCTGTGTACCTTGATGACCCTCTCGGCTCCCTGTGTCAGCACCAGCCCAGGTATCCTTCATCTTAGGCCGCTGCACCCTGCTACTCTTCACCTGACCCCCTCCCCAGGCCTAGCTAGAGCGGGGGGCAGGTGTGGCCAGTGTTTAATAATAGAGTCCCTCCTGGCAGCAGCCCAGTCTTCCAAAAGAATGTTCCTGGTGACTGTCATCTTGGGGTCTCCTGACAGATTTTTGCCAGTCTTGTGGTTTAGCCCTTTGGGATTTATTCACTAGAAATTGTATAACTCCTTCAGAAAAGGTTTATGAAATGCTGAGCTTCAGGTTTCATAGACGTGTTTGTACACTAAGAATTCTGCAGCAGAATATTTTTAAACATTGTTTTTGTAAGCTATATTTTTGTATATTTAATTGCTATTTTAAAATTCTAATGCAATTTTTGCTAATCATTCTTGTTTAAAAAATAAAACATGCATGTAATTAACAAAATGTAAATAAAAAGCAGATTTTGAAAACACATCCTGTTGAGCTTGTACCCTTCAACACTCAGGACCCTGTGGTCGGTCACTCACACCCCCGAAGCCTGCAGAGCAGGAGTTGTAAACCCAAGTGAGTGGTTCTGACCAAAAGGGGCCAGTGGCCAGTGACAGGTGATTGTGATGGAGAAGCTTCTGGAGTGGCCCCTGGGGTGGGGCAGGGGCTGGCCTGGGCAGTAAGTGGCCATGAGTACCCTGCCACGGGAGAGGGGAAGGCAGAGTGCTCACACTTGGAGAGCCACGGCATCCGCCTGGCCTAGGCTCTGCAGATGCAGCCTGGACAGACAAGCAGTCTCCCAGGCGTGAACCCCCAAGTGCTCAGGGGTTTTGAAGGAACAGAAGTGAGCTTGGTCCCTCCGTAGCCCACACACCCTAAGAACTCCCCACACCACCACCCACTCCATCCCTGGCCTGGAAATATTCTGTCTGAAGAAGAAAAAAACCTTCTGGCCCAAAATCCTCCTGTGGCCATTGCCATTCTCCTCACCACCCCTCACTTAGACCTGTACAGTTTAGCTTCTGCCTCAGCTTCGGGGAAACTGTTCATCATGACTCTACTACCAAATCTGGGCAACATCTTGAACCTCCTCTTAACTCCACCAGCCTGGAGAGCTCCCCCCGCCCCAGCCTCCTGGCTGCTCTTCTCTTTCCTGTCGGCCTTTTCCTTCTCTGCTCATCTCCTAATTGCTCTCACTCTGCCCTGCTATCCACTGAATCCCTTCGCTTTACCCACCTACATGTACATCATCTTCGGGTCAGTATCTCCAACCCTAATATCCAGATGTCTACTCAGTGTCTCAAATCAGTAAGTCCCAAACTGAACCTCCCCGCCAGGCACGAGTACCCTCATGAACTCTCCTTTCCCTCATCCCTGTATCGCCACCACATTCCACCACTAAACACTTCCCCTCTCCCCACTTCGGGCCATCCACCCCCACCTCAGTTCAGGCGCCCTTCCTTTCTCACTTGGACAATGACCACAGCCTCCTCACTGGGCTCCCTGCCTCTAAGAGGGGGGAGGGTAGGGTGTGACCCTCAGACAACCACATACAAGGAGGGCAGACAGGAAGGCGCAGCTGCTAAGATGGTGGCTTAGACCAGGTGGTGGCAATCACTGGAAATTCAGTTTACATCCATCCCACAAGCCAGAGCTGATGAGATGGCAAATAACTG